CCCCCCCCCCGCCGCTTCCCCGATTCTCTTTCTCTTCGGGCCTGGGGCGGCCGTACTCTCCGTCTCTGCTTCCTCCGCGCGCTGGCGCTGGCGCTTCGCGGATGCTTCCGCCTCCTGTCTGTGCCATTTCCTCATAGTCTAACGGTGTAACCCGCTGACTAGTCTAACGGTGTAACTTTATCTTACAAAAGATATACGCTCAGCTCGTTAGCACCCGGCTGGATCACTTGGGTTTAGAGCTCATTGAGCAGGGATCTCCGGGGCTGGACCCCTCGCCAGGCGCTGACTGAGAAGAACATAATGGTGCTTGGGAAATTGAGTAGCCGGGATTCGAACCCGTGCGGGAAACTTTTGTCGCTAATTAATTGTTAAACCATTTGGCTAGTCAGCGCTGACAAGTCTAATGGTGTAACTTTATCTTACAAAGGATACCCGCACGAGTTCGAATACCGGCTGAATCACTTTTCGTTAGAAGAAAAAAAAGTGCACTTATAACTATCAGCGCCTGGTGAGGGGTCCGGCCCCGGAGATCCCTGCTCTCAATCCCAAGCTCTAGACCCAAGTGATCCAGCCGGGTGCTAACGAGCTGAGCGTACAATATCTTTTGTACGATAAAGTTACACCATTAGACTAGTCAGCGCTGACTAGTCTAATGGTGTAACTTTATCTTACACCATGTCTAGACTAATGGTGCAACTTTATCTTACATATACATGCTGGATTACAGAGTACATGTACCATTAGTCTAGACCAACCAGTCAGGGTTTAGCCTGTATCTAATATCTACAGCAGTACAGCAGTGTTGCCTACATGATGAACGAGCCGAGAGAGGTGTTTCATCGGGTCGTTGATCGATCGACCCCCACATGTCAACTTTGTTCGTGAGTTTCTGCCGCGCCCCCGCAGCCAATGCCATCTCCTGACTCTCCGATTGTTTCGGTTAACCTGTGTTCATCGAATCGAACGTGTTGCATTGTTTAGATTCGTGTTGTGTTTTTGTCAGCATGTTAGCACGGCCGTCCGTCCTCCCTCGCGTGCATGTGGGGTGTGCGCGCAACGAAATTAACAAAACAAAGCGACAACTATCGATTTCCATGCGGGGATCGGTTCATCTCGCGCGAATGGTGCAGATAGTTGGAACAGGGCTGTACGTGAACCCTCGAAATTTACAAGGAAAGGAAATTTAAATTTCGTAACCTGTCATCATGCCGAATGCAAATACTTCAAGGCAACAACAACAGCAGCAGCAGCAGTGCGGACGCTGGTACCACTTTGTCACCCCGCACCAAAAGCAAACCGTCGGGCAACACGCACGCACACCGTTGCACGACGCCGCAAGGAATTGATATGATTGATGCATTTTGACTGCCCGATACTATAGCATACATATTGACAGGGTACTGCCCTACAGTTAGCGGCGGTCCATTCCCCTGAGACGACGAGAACATCTCCAAACGCTGTCAACAAGTCATCCCCAACATAGCAAAATTCACATACTTCAAGTATACCCGTGGCTTGTTAAAAACGAGTAAATATATGTTAGAACCAAGCAAACCACGCGTGTAGCGAACCAAGCATCGCAACGCGGGGGGTGGGGTCCGGGGGAGGGGCAAGCCCCCCCCCCGGCACCCTTGGGTGGACCAAGCAAACCACGCGTGAGGTGAACCAAGCAAACCACGGGGGGGGGTCTGTTATAGCAGTTACTGCTTTGTCCCAGCAGACAACAACAAACAGACTCTCTCTGCTGTCACCCAGCTTTCCATGGGCAGCAGAGGAGATTCCATCTTGAGCAGCAGTAGTATCTACAGCAGTGAGCAGAATTGTGCGTGCATACAAGAGGCTGACTACTATCTGTGACCTACATGGTGGCGTACAAGGGGCTCCATCGCAAAGCATCACCAGAGGAGGCTGGCTCTATCAAGTGTGTTTCTTCTTGTGCTGCAGCTGGTGCTGCTGCTGCACACCTTTTTGTATGGTACAGGGGTTGGCGATATTACTGGTCGATGCGTAGGAGGATTCCTATCAACGGGGGTGCGTGTGTGAAAAAAGGCATACCAAACATCTTTGTACTTCAAGTATAGACTTAACCGGAGGATTAGATCAGGAAATTCGACTCATACGCGCATCGCTACTCGAACCCGCAAAGAAAATAGACTACCTGTCTACCGTACAACTTGTGTTCGCATCCACTTGTCTAGGATCTTCCCGGGCGCAACACTCCGAACACCTTTGCAAACTAACCCTAGCACTGACCCCCACGAACAAGAGCACTATTACATGTGTTCACAAAATATTGTCCCAGTGGGGGCTTCGCCCTCTCCAGCCCTCGTTCTTAGCCTTCGTATCTCGGTTGATCAGGCCTTGGTATTCCTGCTTCACTTCTGCCCTCACTCAGGTCGGCGCTCTTCGACTCCATCTCTAGACTCATCGTCGCGCTTGCGCATGTACTTCTGGAGCAGGCGGGCCAGCTCGGCGGCAGGGCTCGGTTTGGAGTCGCTCTCTTCGAGCCTACGCGCGGAGTAGGTAGAAGGAGGTTCCAGCGTGTCGCACCTGTGCGAACATCGAGCATGGGACGGGGAAGGCGGAGGAGCGGCAGAGACAACATTCTTCGATGAACGGGTACATGAGCGCGGCCACACGCCCTTGCAAACACACGATCGTGTGTGAATACGTCCATCACGTGTACAACGCGACACGCGATGCACACTAACCCAGAGAACACTTTGTCACTAGTCCTCTAAAACCACAAGAAGCCGCCCTGTCTTTCCGTCGGACCCGAACTCACTGTGTGCATCTGGTCTCTCCGGTGCTTCTCATCCAGTTGGGATGTTGCGAGTACTTCTCTCTCTCTCTCTCTCTCTCTCTCTCTCTCTCTCTCTCTCT